TATATTGTATTGTATGCTAATAGAAATATAAACTCCTCAATAGCTAGTTATAGAACAATCTATCAACATTGTTTGCCAATAGTGTTAGTAGAATTGTGCAAGAGAGTCCGCGAAAGGGCCAGTCCATAGACGAAACGAGTCGTGAAATTCGACTGACCCGATTCTTCGGTCTCCTTGGCGGTCCTCCGTTGTTCCTTAACGAAACGTACAGCGTTCCTCGTTACCTCATCATTTCCGTATCTAATCCGAGATTAACTGAACGTCATGGGTCAGGCATGGCTCGCTCGTGACCCGGTTTCCAGCACGTGATCCGATTTTAATGGACGTTCCTCTAGAGTCGTCGGTCCCGTGTTGTTGCCCCGTTGCTCTCGAAATCAGATATTTCCGTTTCCCCCCCGCGTACGAAACAGGGTAACAACACCGTTTTCTTTCTGGCCTCTTGCAGAACCGGAACACTTCGACAATCTGCGAAATTGCCTGGAGCCGAAAGACTTCCTCAAGAGGGCACGATCCTTGATGGTGGTGGTATCAACGCCACCCACGCAGAATTACGAGGAGTTCACTAAGAAGGTCAGGGAGTACAGCAGCAAGGAACCGTTTAACTTTATCATCCCTGAATTGCTGAGAAAGTACGAAAAGGTAGTTCTCCTTTTATCAGATATTATGCAATACTCTTTGCGGAATATACGTATATGTCTAGAACAGTACTAAAAATGTAGGATATAAGTCTCTCTCCTGATTAGTAGATATTACAACTAACGTTTTCTGGATTTGTGTTTTAAAAAAATCTTATGATATTTTTACCCTTGATTGGTATTGTTGGGCCATCGACATCTGTAACAATTTAAAATTATAAATACTTGAATTAAGTTACTGAATTTCTGAATTCTTCTCATTCTAATTATAAGACTAAAATGTTTTATATTGAAAAGAATATTTGAAGATCGAGTAAGATTAAGGATTAAATATTAAAATTTTTGAATTGTACATGCATTTTATAATACAGTTATTCACATATTAATATTTTAAAAGTTCTTTCATGTATAAAGCATTGTTTAACCTTTTCATTTTTGAAACACAGCAATGTACGGTAACCTTTTCTCGATCGTTAATGCGTATATCTTTACAGATTATGCGCATTATTCGCACTGCATGAGAACTCGCTGTCATAATATCTCTAATAATTACTTAAATTATCATTAGCCATTCATTGTTGTAATGCCGCGTTTGATGAGGTAGATTTTATAACGTCAATAATGATTAATGTGCTAATTACAATGTGTTAAAACTAAACTCCATTAAAATACAATCTATCTTTGTTCAATGCAAGATACTAATTGTTATTATCATCGTGAAATATTACACATAATTTATATTCAGTCTGGAGAATTAAAGTCAAATCAAATTAGAGATGAAACCAGACGTTCCAAACGTTAAATCGCAACGCTGTGCCACGCCAATATAACTCGATATTACAGATTATAGGGTAGAAGAAGTTCAATTTTGTCCATCAAACGATCGAGTAATCTTCTCGTTTCAGTATGTATCGATTCACGCCGCCTATCTTTACGATTCGGTGAAACTGTACGCGAAAGCTCTAGACCAGCTTCTGAGGGATCAGCCAGAGCACACGCTCGAGGAGATTGCCAGTAATGGCACCCAGATCATCGAGACGATTATCAGAAATCACACGTATCAAAGTAAGTCTGCGTGTAATTTGTGTATCACGAATTGCTGGGACGAGCATGAAGTACCTCGATAAAACAACGTCTGATTAAAACGAGCGGATGTGATCGATATTTGAATTGTTCGCACGACATTGTACAATTGCAAGACATTAGAAACGCTTCAAGATTCTAGATCGAAAATGTCAGATCTTAAGATCAAGCATGATTATTTTGCAGAAAAATTTTACGGAAGGGGAATTATAATTGTACTTATGAGAGTAGTTTAGTAGTAGAACACAAATCTTTTGCGTCGTTGCAAGATATTGCAACCTCTTTGCGATTAGAGAATATAAGATTGTTATAATGATGGTTCTAATAAAATATTAAAAAAAAAAAAAAAAAA